CTAGAGGACCCTCATGGGGAGCCTGATGGGGAGGATACATCGCCATTCATCATCCCAAGTCCAGATTCTACCAAGGAATGAGAAGACAAGAAGTCTGGGGCGATTCCACCAGTGAAGAGACATAGGACAGTATGGCTCCTAGCATGAGCTCTTCTTCCTAATCTGGGTTTTCTTTTGGGGGGGAGGGGGTCCGGTCATGGGGCCTGAACTCTGGGCCTGGACGCTGTCCCTCAGCTCTTCAGCTCAAGGCGAGCACTCTACCACTTGAGCCACAGCACCACTTCCGGCTTTTTTCTTTTTGCTTATGTGGTGCTGAGGAATCGAACCCAGGGCCTCAGGCATGCAAGGCGAGCCCTCTACCACTGAGCCACCTTCCCAGCCCCAGAATCTGGGTTTTCTTACGGGGATTCCTGAGTCCCTGCCAAGCCCTGCTCTCAGGGTCAATGCTATCTCTTCTTGGCCTAAGAATGAAGATTCTTTTCTTTGTGTGTAAGTTCCAGCTGAGTCAGGCTGATATTTCAAGAAGAGCTTGAAGAAAAACAAAAAGGAAATCATTATAGAAACTATAAACAGCATGAAAGTCGTCATGTCCAAAGTACAGGTTTTAGATTCTGAGAATCCCGTTAAAACCAGTGAGATCTCACTGAGTTCCACATTCCTTGATCCCAAGAAAAATCCAGGCTTAATCATGCTAGCATAACTTAGCTGCGCCCTGGGCTTGCCCCTTCCCTCCAGTTCTGCCTGGCTCAGGCCAACTCAGGTCATTGTGTCATCTCAGCCCAGTGTTCCCCTTTCACAAGTCAACCCAAACCCTCCCCAAATCATAGTTTCTTTTCTGGGTTTACCCCTCGTCTTACTAAGCTGTCTCCCCACAAAACCCACACACTAAAAAGGGTTCACGTTTTTAGTTTGAGTCCTGGGTAGTGGATCACCTATAAATACCCACAAATGAACATTGAGACTTTCACCTTCACCTAACCAAAGAGTCTTCACCAAATGTTTAGATTCTTCCAACACACATATCAACAAATGAACAAACAAATGAATTTCCTCCAATCTACATTATGAGTAACATTTGTTTTTCTTCTTACAATAATTAACTTTTCCCTTCCTTCAAAATAGTTAATCCACCTGGGTGTTGGGCCAGAAGAAATGCTGGAAGAAAAAGCCAAGGATGTTCTTTCATGTTAGTGAAAGGAACACATTTACAAAAAGCCATATGCAAATAAGAACTAACAGCAGGTTGCTTTCAAGTGAATGATTGCAGTCACAAGGAATGAGGTTCCAGCTGAGGTTCGGTCTACTATGCGTGGAGAGAGAAAGTAGGCATAATTCTCACTCAGGTGAGACTAAAAAGCAGCCTCTTATGGGTTTGGTTGTCAACTAAAGTCTTGATTGGTAGGAAGTCACAACGACTAGGGCAATAAATAAATAATCATACACATATATACGTACATATAATATGGAGGGAAGATATATGTGGGAAATATATATGTATATGTGTGTGTGTGTGTGTGTGTGTGTGTGTAATATATACAGTCAGGACTGGTGGAAGTCCAGTTATTACTACAACAGGGAAAGTCAGAGAATCAAAACTGGGCAGACTGGGGCTTAAATTCTGCTGGCAGAGGTCAGAGGTGTAGCTTACTGGTAGAGCGTTTGCCCAATACGCTTGAATCCTTGCATTGATGCCCGCACCAGGGCGGGGAGCGGCACCTGCAACCTCGGTGAATCTTGGCCCGTCCGGGTCGCCGTCGTTGCCCTAGGATACCGTAAGACGCTGTGTGCTGCGCGTCCCGTATCTATGGAGACGAAAACATGGCGCTGGTGTGCGTTCCTAGCGTTGGTCTGGGTCCCCGCGAACGGCCGGAGTGATCGGAGAAGGCCTGGGGTCGCCTCCGAGCCCTGCAGAGAGCCTCGTGAGACTGGGATTTGGGCAAGATTAACCAGACCGGGCAACCGGAAGCCAAGGCGGAGCCGCGCTGAGCAGACGTTGTTGTTTGGGTTTTATCTGTTTCTTGTTCAGCTCTGCAAGGTCCCTTCCCTCCCTTCCCCCTCGACCGCACGCACACTTCTCCTACTGGTCATTTTGGGAACGTTGGTTGACTGAAATCAGGCAGATGAAGGAAGCCTGAAGCTTGCCTGTGTCCAGAGGGTTTGGGGAGAGGCCGGAGCCTTGCTTCCCTTGGCCTCTCTGGACAGTGCTCGCTCTCCTCTGTAAGCCCAAGCTGGACCAGCGTTCTTCTCTGTATTTTGAGGCGGGGGGAGGGTGGTTTGTGCTGAGTGGAGATTTTTCAAAACTCTCTGTAGAATCCCCTGAAGCTAGAGACAGCAGTGAATGGGACAAGACTGCAAAGCCACCCCATGACAGAAACGTCATGACACTTTCTTCTTTGCCTCCCAGCTTGCATTAAAAAAAAAAAAATCCACCAGAACATCGACAAAGCCATTGAAGATAGGCACCAAGGCTGTTTTGTCCTGTAGGCACTTATTAAAAAGTGCTTTATGAATGGATGAATAAGTGAGTAAAACCTAAAATGGTCTTGTTCAGTGTTTTGAGAACTGTCTCAGAACTCTAAGTTAACAAAATCTTTTTGTTTTGGATGGGTACCAGGGAGGAAATAGTCTAGGGTATGAATTCCTAAGAGTAATTTTTTTTTTTTAGTGCTAATACTGTGGCTTTTACTCAGGGCCTTGCACTCCTGCTTGTCTTTTTTTCCCTCAAGTCTGGCACTCTGCCATTCGAGCCACATCTCCACTTTCAGCCTTTTGCTGGTTCATTGGAACTAAGAGTCTCATGAACTTTTCTGCTCAGGCTGGCTTCAAATCAGGATCCTCAGATTTTAAGCCACCTGAGTAGCTAGGATTACAGGTGTGAGTCACCAGCACTGGACTTTAAAACTTTGCTTATTAAATTAAGGTACATTATAACAAGGAATTGAACCACAAACTTGAAAAGGCAAAGTAAAATAAAAAGCAAGTCCTATGCAATGCAAACTGTTGTAAGAACTAAGGTCCTAATAACATACATATGACACATAAATTCTCACAGATCAGCAAAAATTGATACCCTTTTTGAGATTGCTATTGGAAGAAGTGGAAAAAGATACCAAATAGTCTGGAAATATTCTTGTGTTCAAAAATGTGTTGGAGTACTAGACAAATGTAGCTGATGAGCTGCATTTGGTCAGTAGAAATAGGTCATCTGGGCTGGGGGTAATGGCTCATGCTTATAATAGAGCTACACAGGAAGCACAGATTAAGAGAATCACAGTGCAAGGCAAAATAGTTAGCAAGAACTCCATCTCAACAATAATCTGAGCATGGCAGTATGTATCTGTGGCCCTAGCTATGCAGGAGGTTGTAGGTAGGAAGATGATGGCCCCAGGAAAAAAATGAAAGATCTTCTCCAAAAAGTAACCTTAAAGCAAAAAAAAAGTGGCAGAGATCTTGCCTTGCAAGCTTAGGCCCTGTGTGCAAACCCCAGTACCCACCAAAAAGGTGGACCATCTGAATTGAGATACTCTAGAAGTGAACAATGCTACCAGATTTCACAGCACAAAACAATCGTGTAATGTTTCTTAATAGTTTTATATCACATTAGGTGATAGTAGTCTATATAGTGGGTTAAATGAAATATATTTCACCTATTTCTTTTTGCTCTGAGTGTGTGTGTGTGAGAGAGAGAGAGAGAGAAAGAGAGAGCGGGGAGAGGAAGAATGGGAGAGGGAGATTCTAGTCTTGGGGCTTGAAGTCAGGGCCTGGGCAGTGTCACTGAGTTTTTGTGCTCATGATTAGCACTCTCCCACTTGATCCACAGTTCCATTTTTGGCTTTTTGGTGGTTAATTAGAGGTAAGAGTCTCATGGGCTTTCCTGCCTGAGCTGGCTTCAAACCACAATCCTCAGATCTCAGCCTCTGGAGTAGCCTGGATTACAAGCGTGAGCCACTGGTACTGGGCTTCTTTTTGCCTGTTTAATATGGCTTCTAGAATGAATTACACTTGTGGCTTTCATTATAGTTTGAAGGACAAAGTCATGTGTATGTGTCAAAGGATTTTTATGATGATGCTGTCTGTAAAGAGTAACTCAAGCCGAGTGTTAACGGTGGATCAGCATAGAGATCTGAAAATCATGTACTCAGTCTTGCATCTGAGCAGGGCTGGCCATAGTTAAAAGTGTCTGAATGTGGAAGTTGATACCTTTTGCCTAGGTTCCAAAGGCACACCTGAAGAAACCAGCTAAAGGAACTTTGAGGTGATAGATCTAGAGCCTAAGATACTTTGTGTCCCTGTCACCCCTTTGAACATTGGGAGAAAACTATGGGTGTTCTGACAAATAGCATCTGTGTAATATGCATGACATACTGCATATAGTTTCCATGTGATAGTTCTATACACTTGTATAGAATTTTCAGCTGAAGTCTACCCAGGGACCCCTTTGCTCTAGAGATTCAGTCATTTATCCTTTAACTAAATCATTATTTCAAGTGAATATTTACTTTATATATGGTCTGCAGGTGCTGGTAGAGGAAACCCAGAAAACCAAGACCCCAGCAGTCTCATTCATCCCCCCTTACTCGTCTTTCAGCAGGCAAGATCTGTTCTAAGGAAACAGGTAGAGAGTAAAATCCAGCTTAACAGTAATGTATGTTCCCCTGCTGAGGGTTTGATGGGGTCAGGTGTGGCCAAGGAAGGGCATGGTTGGGTAAATCTTATTCCAAACTCCTCCTTCAAGTGCCTTTCCTGAGTAGTGAGTCACTAGGCCCTCAGGTAAAGTCCTAGGTTTTATGTCCAGCCACATTTACCATGGGGCCACCTCATACCTCTTGCCAGAGCTAGAGAGCAGGCTCTTAGCTCCATCTCCACATTAGTCATAGTGAGTCTCCCCAAGGATCTTCCTTTTTCCATCCCCTCTGGCCTCCTCCCAGCTCCCGACTCATAGCTGGATCCGCCAGGAACTTGTAGCGTAATTAAAATGTTGTTTATGTTCCAGGTGCACAATGCTTACCCAGACAAGCCCCAGCCCTGTCACTAAGTTCAAGGAAAGTGGTGACTGCACTGTCAACTCTGGTGGATCCTTTGTGAGTGCCAGCACGATGGCTGGCCCCACCATCAATGACAGCAGTATAAGTCCAAGTGTCTGCAGTAGCAGCATCAGTGCGCAGGTGAGGACCTGCCCAGGGCAGTGGAGCACAACAGGGCAGGGCAGTGCTGGAGCATGAGGTGTGAAACTGAGGGACCTGGCTTTCTGTGCACACACCAGCATCAGAGCCTGCTTAGACAGAGTACCAAAAAGATGGAATGGTGGTAGATTTGATCGTGCAATACAGATGCTATGGGAAGAGCGTTCCAGGGAGCTGGACCAAAGTGGAGGCTGGTTGAGTGGCCACTGTTTCTCTCTTCACTTAAGAAGCTTTGTCGGCCTGGACTCGTAGGACTATGTGTTTAATCACTGTGTGGATGTTGATGACCTTTTGTAACTCTGTAGCTCTTGGTGTGTAGCAGTGTTAATGTCTAGGGTTGTGACTGTGAGGTATGACCTTGTGTCTGGTATGGTGTATATGAGAGTGGCACCTGTCCCCTCCGATGTGATGTTATTTCATTAATCTTCCTTTGGACTGGGGTCCATGGGAGGCATCTTGCCTTCCATCTGCGCCATTTGGATTCACTTGCTTGTCCTTCCTGCTCTGTGATGAGCTGAGAGGAGACTGGAAAGTGAGAGGAAGAGAGAAGCCATGGCCTGTCTCTATTTCTCTGTGTTTGATGGAGTCTACATCAGCGGCTGTCTCTCCCCCAAGCTTCCTGTTCCTACCACACAGGCTATAAGGCTACAATAATCCCCCTACTTCCCCTCTCCTGATCACTGCTCAGTGCTGCTAACCCCTAGGTTCCTTCACTGCCCTTAATCGTGGATTATACTCCATGTTCTAAGCACCAGGGTGGCTGATGCACCAATTGATATTTACAGTAAGTTATCTTCCCACATGTGTTACCTTTCCTCCATGCATCGTCCAGGAAAGGAAATATAGTATTTGGCCATAAATATGGTCATTCTGTATTGAATGTTGAAACTTAAAGTGGGAGTTCCAAGAGAATGGATTTGTGGGTCTTAGTCCCAGCACTTCACACAGTGTCTGGTGCATGACAGTCAACAAATATTTGTGTTATATAACAACAGATGAGCAATACTTGGTAAAGATAAAGTGGCAATGAGTTGAGTGTTCATAAAAATGGCACAGTAAGCTGGGTACCAGCACCAGTGGCTTATGCTTATGATCCTAGCTACTTTGGAGGCTGAGAGAGGAGCACTGCTGTTCAAGGCTAGCCTGAGCAGAAAAGTTCATGAGACCCCGTATCATTCCCCAGCAGGGAGGGGTGTTGTTCTTCATGACGTGCTGGAGACAGGGATGGTGATGGACAGATCTTTGCATGTTTTCTGGGTCTTTGCATCCTATTAATGCAGCCTTCCTTTGCCCTGCCCACTGAACAGCCTACTGCCTCCATAGACACTCAAAAGTGCAGTCCAAAGAAGCTGGAAAGAGTGATCAAGAGGATTTTCTGGGGCATTGAGGTGGCTGAGGAGCTGAAATGGAAAGACTGGGATCTGGGGAAGGAGACCACAAGGAACCTGATCCTGAAAAATCTCTCCATGAAGATCCAGAGGATGAAGTACAGGTACGAGAATGAGGGAGAGGGAACCCAACCCCTGAGCCCTCAGGCCTGAAGCAGGTTCTGTAAACCAAGCTTCAAAGTACCATATAAAGTCAGATGAAGGCTCACAATGTGCAGTTTGAGGAAGTCTACCAAAAGGTCCTCATGTGATGGATTCATTCGTGGAATAATGACAGATGGTAAAAGAGCCCTTTTGCGTAAGACTTTCTTGCTTTTCTCAAATAGATCTACCACTTGTGTCAGTGTCCCTTAATAATATACTTTCTTATGAATTTTATGTAAATAGAAGAATATGGCATACTTTTTATTTGTGTTGATACAGGGGTTTGAACTCAGAGCCTTGAGTTCTTGTTTGGATGTTGCTCTATCATTTGAGTCAGGCCTCTAGTTCTTGGTGTTCTACCACTTGAGTCTTGCTTCCAGTTCTGGTTTTTTACTGGTTGACTACAGATAGGAGTCTCTCAGATCTGTCCAGGCTGCCTAAGCAGGCTTCAAACTGAGCTCTTCAGATCTCTGCCTCCTAAGTAGCTAAGATAATAGGTATGAGCCACCAGCACCCAGCTAGAATGTAAATGTAGAATGTACTTTTGTAATTTATTTTGCTCAGTTATGTCTATAAAACATATCCATGGATATCTATAGTTATCTCTTCTTGTTATAGGGCAGTGTGTGCCCATGACATAGCCAGGCATTCTTCTATGGAGGGACATTTGGGTTGTTTCCAGGCTGAGATTGTTCCCAGAAGTCAGGTGAAAGTCTTGTGATGCACAAATACAATTGTTTTTCTGGAGTTTAGATATGGAGGAGAATTGAAGTTTAGGATATGTACACGTTCACTTTTTGCATATAAAGCTAAACTGTTTTCCAAAGTACAAAGATAGAATCTGTTTATATTCCCCCTCAAGCCTGTGAGAATTTCCGTTCTTCTATACCCTTACCAATAAGTGATATTGTCTGGAATTTTCCTAATAGTAACTTGTGACTTCAATTTACATCTCCTTGATCCCTAATTTTTCTAATTACTGATTAGTGAGGCTGAGCATCTTTCCATAGGTTATTAACCATTTGCATTTCCTAATTTTTGAAATTGATGTTGGAGTCTGCGCCCATTTTTTCATCCCTCCCTCTCCTCCTCCTTTCCTCCCTTTCCTTCTCTTCTTCCCTTTTCTTTTTTTTCTTCTTTCCTTTTTTTCTTTCTTTCCTTTCTTTGTCAGTCCTGGTGTTTGAACTTAGGGCCTGTATTTGCTATGCAAGTGCTCTGCTGCTGGAGCCTCACCACCTGTGCCCTGTGCCCATTTTTCTATTAGATTAGTTCTTCTTTGCCTTTGTCTTCCTCACTTTTTGTCTGAGTTCTCATCCTGGATACTAACACTCACTCTGTTAAGTGTTATGACTGTCTTATCCCACCAAGTGACTTTTCCTTTCTTTATTGTGTCTTTTGAAGAATAGAAGTTTTTAATTTCAAAGGAATCAAAGTTATCCATAGTTTTTCTTTTCTTTTATTTTTTTGGGTCCGGTCGTGGGGCCTGAACTCTGGGCCTGGGCGCTGTCCCTCAGCTCTTCAGCTCAAGGCTAGCGCTCTACCACTTGAGCCACAGCACCATTTCCGGCTTTTTTTCTTTTTGCTTATGTGGTGCTGAGGAATCGAACCCAGGGCCTCAGGCATGCAAGGCAAGTGCTCTACCACTGAGCCACCTTCCCAGCCCCATAGTTTTTCTTTTATGGTTGGTGTTTTGTACTTTGCTTAAGAAGTCCTTCTGCGCCTCTTGATCCTGGAGATATTTTCCTATAGTATTTTTTTTGGGGGGGTCCAGTCGTGGGGCCTGAACTCTGGGCTTGGGCGCTGTCCCTCAGCTCTTCAGCTCAAGGCTAGCGCTCTACCACTTGAGCTACAGCACTACTTCCGGCTTTTTTCTTTTTGCTTATGTGGTGCTGAGGAATTGACCTCAGGACCTCAGGCATGCAAGGCAAGCACTCTACCACTGAGCCACCTTCCCAGCCCTCGTATAGTATTTTCTAGAGACTCCATAGCTGTGCCTTTTGTATTTGTCTTTGATCTAAATGGGATTGATTTTTGTGAATGGTTTGGTACCTGATGACATATTTTTCCTCCATTAACTAATGTTCTCCACAGCATTTCTTGAAAAGCTCATGCTCTCTCTGATGATCTCCATGCCACTGGCATGTATCAAATGTCTTGCTACATACAGGTCCATATTTGGACTCTTGTTTTGTTCCCTTGTATCAGGCCAATACAAGCCTGAGTTATTAACGCTTGTAGTAAATCTTGATATCTTATAGTGTAAGTCTTAACCCCTTCCTTCTTCATGATTGCCTTAGCTAATCTTAATCCTTTGAACTTTCATATATATCTTCAAACAATGTAAAAAAATTGTGATTTGTATTGGCATTTCATCAAATCTATAGATCAATTTTGGGGAGAACTGACATTACAACACTGAGTCTTTTAATCCATGAAGGCAGTGTAATATTTCTTAATAAGTTATAGTGTGTGTGTGAGTATGTGTGTGAGAGAGAGAGAGAAAGAGAGCAAGCACGCACTGGTACTTGTACTGGAGCTTGAACTCAAAACCAGGGTTCTCCCTTAACTCAAGGATGGCACTTTACCACTTGAGCCCAGCTCCACTTTTGTCTTTTCACCGGTTAATTGGATATAAGAGTCTCATAGACTTTTCTGCCCAGGCTAGCTTACTTTGAACTGTGATCCTCAGATCTCAGCCTCCTGAGTAGCTAGGATTACAGTTGTGAGCCACTCGTGCCTGACTTGGTTTTGTTGCTGATTTTGTTTTCTTTTCTGTAGACAGCATGCACAGTTTTTAGCCTATTCCTAAGTATTTTCTTTTCTTTGGGCATGCTTAGGTTTTGAATTCAGCGCCATGTATATTATAAGGCAGCTATTCTTACCAGTGAACCATGCCTCTAGTGCTTTTCTGTGCTGGTTATTTTTTAGAGTCTCACTTTCTGCCTAGTGACCCACAATTTGCATGTTAGGCCTCTCTTCATAGCTAGGAAAACAGGCAAGTGCTACTGTATTCACCTCTCAGTTAAGAAGAGGTTCCAGGACTTTTATGCCTGAGCTGACTTTGAACCACAATCCCTCTAATTTTAGCCTTACAAGTAGCTAAGACTACAGGTATGAGCCACTGATGCCCAGCTCATTATTCAGTATTTTTATGATTTTATATATATATATATATATATATACACACACACACAGAGGCATGTATATTTGTGTGTATATATATGTGATTATGTATTGTGTAAGTGAGACAGTGCTGTATTAGATAGTCCAGATTGGCCTCAAGCTCAAAATCCTACTTCTGCCTTCCAAGTTCTAGGATTACAGACATGCAGCAGTACACCTATATCTTGAAGTAGTTTTCATTTCTTGTTTGTTGCTTTTTTTAAACAGTACTAAGGGCTGAACCCAGGGTTTTATGCTTGCTAAGGAAGCATTCTACCACTTGAGGTACTACCCCCAATCCTAGCTTTTTGAACATTATTAATTCTCATATGACTATTGTATCTAGCAACCTTGATAAAGCCTCTTATTAAGTCTGATAATTTACTATTTCTTTTTTTTTCCGTATGCACATTTCTATTTTATGTAGAAAATGGCATTTTCCCCTTTCTTCCTTTCCAATTCTTACATCATGTTTTGTCTTTCCATTCTCTACTGCTAAATACAAAAGTGCTGAGCAGAGTAGTATAAAAGATCTCCTTGTCTCACAGCAGAAGATTCCAAAGTTTTGCCACCAAACTGGATGTTTCCTGGTGGGTTACTGTTGCTGTGTTCTGGTTTGTGTTGTAGATTTTTATCAGATTAAGGATATTTTTCTATTTTCTTCTTTTCTTTTTTATTAGCATAAACTAACTACACAATGGATATCATTGTATTATTAACAACATGCCTATAATATGCTTTGATCAAATTCACCCTGTTTATATAATTCTTAGGGACCTTTTTTCTCTTCCTGTTCTGCTGACAGGTTTTCTTATCATCATATGTTGAAATGTATCTAATATTTTTATTGAGGTTATCATTTGGGTTTCCTCTCCCTCTTAGTAATACAGATTGTGTTAACTGACCTACCTACCTTCCCCTTTTGTGTGTGCCAGTATTGGGGCTTGAACTCAGGGTCTGGGCACTGTGCCTTAACTTTTTCTGCTCGAAGTGCTCATTCCCTTCTCTTTTCTGCAGGCCTCCCAGGACCAAGTTCTTCTTCACGGCCATCCCTCAGCCCATCTTCCTGAGCCCAGGCATCACCCTCACAATCCCCATTGTCTTCCGGCCTCTGGAGAGGGTGAGGCCTGCCAGACAAGTAGTGGAGGGTCAGGAACAGGACTGAGGGCCAAGCAGCAAGGAGCTCCCTTCTACACACATGTCCCACCAGCTAGAGCAAACACTTCCGTTTGCGAAGTCCTCAAGAGGACTCGCTATCATTATACATGAGTGCCCCCATTGGATGCTGGGTTAAAAGCTGTAATACTGTGCTAGCTTTCAGATTCCTTGGCCTCTTTTGTTCCCTACAAATGTCAAGACTCTCTATAAAACTTTTTTTTTAAATGCACTATGTTGAATCATAATCTATGTTGTGAGGCTGGTCTCAAACCTCTAGGCTTAAGTGATCTTCCTGTCTCAGCCTCCTGAGTAGCTAGAATGACAAACTTACCAGCATATCCAACTCCTCAAAATTCTTTGCTCCCTGAAAAACAGGCTGTAGTCTCTGAGACCTGAACAGTCTAGGAGTACAGGAAGTGGAGTCTCTCCTCACACTGATATGGTGGGCTGTTGCCCAGCCCACTCTCCAAAGGTTTTGTTGGAGAGGATGGCTTACAATGGGTGGCACGTGTTGTCTCTCGAGGACCACTGTTCAGTGACTGCTTCTCCCCTTTTCATCCGGCCATTGCAGAAGGAATACATGGACCAGATGTGGTTTGAGAAAGAGGAGGGGATATTCCCTGTGTGTCTGAGGGCCATCTTGCCTTGCCACAAGCTAGTTTGCCCATCATCTCTACACCTGCCCATGTGTGCCATTGGGGACACAATCGAAGCCTGGTTCTGCCTGGAGAATGTGGGGTAAGGGAAGAGGTTGAGGCTCTCCTGGGAGGAGAGAAGATGGGTACCTCCTAGTGGGAAGCAGAGAGGCCACCCAGAGCCTCAACCTTGCTCAGACAGTAGCAATCATAAGGAAAAGCACAGTGGCAGTGACCTGCCTCTTGCCCACCCTCTCAGGGACCTGCCCACCTTCTTCACCTGGGAGCTCCCCAGCCCATTCCAGATCTTCCCTATCACGGGATTACTGGAGCCAGGCTTGGCCTGTAAGATGAAAGTGACCTTTCAGCCCCTCGTAGCTGTCATCCATGAAGTTGAGGCCACGTGCCGCTATGGAAAGGACGGCAAGCAGAAGAGCAGCATCCAGATTCGGGGTGTAGGTGAGGCCTGTCTTCCTACCTGTCCTCAGAGCCAGCTGCTGCCCCTACCTGGGTCTCAAGGCCTCAGGCTACCTCCCATCTCCCACATGGGCTTGGCTCCTGCTGGCCTCCACCAGTCCATCTTTCCTCCAGTGCTTGGGCTTTTTCTTTGACGGCGTCAGATTTTCCTTTCTGGAATATGTGCCTTCTAAGGACTGCTCAGCTGAAGCCACATAGACCCCAGTGGGTTCCTCACCAGACTCCCCATCTCTGTTCCAGGCAAATGTGCTCAGCTGCTGGTGAGCATCAGACACAAGCGATTAGAAGACAAAGATATAGAGGGCCTCCAGAAAGTGTTGCACTTTGGCCCTGTCTCTGTGGGCTGCATCGCTGAGAGACAGATCAAACTGTATAACCCATCTGCAGTATGTACAGGGCCAGAGATAATGGAGTGGGGGGCGGGGAGAGACAGGACTCAGGGACCCCAGGTCTGGGTACCCTTATAATCCATTTCCAGTGCTCTCCATCCCTCTGATCCCAAGCTTTACATAGTAAGGACTGTTGCTGCACATGTGTCAACATCTCTCAACAGGAGTTCCTCTCAGCTGGGGCTAGGCTTAGGTATCTACAGGTCCCCTGGAGAAATCCCTTAAGCAGCCCCAAGCATCCTCATCCCACAACCGTAGCTAGCTCCGATAGTACCTTTGGGAGAAGAAAATAGTGCTCCCTTTGAGCAGTTTCTGGGCCTGGCCTGGCCTATTCTTCTGGTGAAGCAGCTGTACCTCACACGCAGAGCAGCCAGTGGGCCCAGCCTGACTGCCATCTGTCCCTTATCCCCTCGCTGGCATGCTTGGTACAGTGCCTAGACTGCCTGACCCTGAGTGCTGGCCCTTTGCCCCCTGTAACCTTTCCCCACAGGTAAATGCTCCCTTCCGGATTGAAATGGTCCCAGATGTTCTGTCCAAAGACCAGGCGTTCTCGTGCTCCAAGAGTTATGGCATTGTACCCCCACGAGAAAAGAAATGTGTGTCTCTGTTCTTCCATCCCAAGACCGTGGACAGTAAAACTGTGGAATATTTCTCCATCCTACCTGCTGGATGTGCTTCCCAAACTCTGCTCCAAGTCATTGGTTTATGTAAAGGTACTGACAATCCCAGGAGGCTGCACTCCCTGGTCTGCTCCCTCCTAAGAGGCATTGCCTCTTGGCTTCTCAGCCTGGGTGTCTGCTGCCCCCTGGTGGCCCAAGGAGGAAGCATTGTGGATACCGAGGGATATCTTTTTCCATGACTAGCTTGAAGGGGCTTTGGGCCTATCCAGTCTGGTTGTGTCTATAGCTGGCACCACCTCCTAGCAGGGAGACCCTTTCTGAGATATCCTCTAGAAAGCTGATAACCAATTAAGTGGCCTTAGGACCCACTTACTCACAGAGACCCGTCTCCTATGCCCAGGTCCTGCTGTGTCCTTTCAGCACTACTGTGTCAATTTCAGCTGGGTCATACTTGGAGAACGCTCAGAGCAGACCCTGTGGATTGAGAACCAGTCACGTTGCTTGGCCCACTTTCAATTTATCATTGACTGCCAGGAGAGTGTGTTCAGTATCAACCCTACCTTTGGGACCCTGATGGGCAAGGCCCGCGTGACCCTGCGCTGTGCCTTCCAGCCCACTCACCCCAACATCTACTTTCGCCGGGTGGCCTGTCTTATCCACCACCAGGTGAGTAGTGGGTGAGGAGGGGCCTCTGTCTTATAGGGGAGAGGAAGGGCAATCTGAGACCAGTGATGAAGACACAACTTAGTGGGCACTCTCCTGTATTCTGGAACTTCTAAGCCTGTCTACCTGGGTCAGCTCCTCCTTCAGGACCCCAGCCCAGGCTATGGGAGACACATATGAGGGTTCACTCTGAGCTAGGTGAACGTGTTAAGCTTTTCCTGACTACTGCCAGGTCAGCGGCTTTGCTATTTCCGATTGCTTTGCTACTGCTATTGCCATTGGACTGGGATGAGGAGGTTTGGATGTCACTCCATACCATGCATGCAGAACAGAGGGATCTGAATTTAGGCCCCAAACCCAGATCCTTGGGCACGTGGTGTGTGGACCTATGGGTGTCTGTGCATAATGGCAAGTGTGACCAAAGTGTAGCCGCCACTCAAATACTGGAAGTGGCGCTGTGGCTCCAGTGGTAGAGCGCTAGCCTTGAGCACAAAAAGGTTCAAGGACAGCATCCAAACCCTGCGTTCAAGCCCCACAGCTGACAAATAAACAAAATTCTCGAGTAGCCAGGCGCTGGTGGCTTATGCCTGTAATACTAGCTACTTAGGAGATCTAAGGATTGCCATTCAAAGAAAGCCCAGGCAGGAAAGTCTGTGAGACTCTTATCTCTAATTAATCACCAGAAAACGAGAAATGGCACTGTGGCTCAAAAATGGTAGAGCACTAGCCTTGAGCAAAAGATCTCTAGGGACAGCGCCCAGGCCCCTGAGTTCAAGCCCCACACTGAAAAAAAACAATTCTCATGCAGGTACAATATGAGCTTTGGAATAGATTAACAGAACACAGCCAGGTTCTGCTCCCTGCCCGCCTCCCCTCCCCCCCAAAAAGCCAGAAATGCTTGTCACATAGACTCCTGGCTGGCAGCAGGATAAGCAGTAAAATACCTTAGGAACCCATAGATTGTGTAGGGACAGACAGACATCTGTCTGTCTGAGCATCCCATTTGGAGGGCTTGAGTGCTCTACTCCTGCCTTACCCTGGACTCTTGCTGGTTCTTGAGCCAACCAGCAGCTATCAGAATGTTCCTTCCACCTGCAGCTTCTGCAGTTCAGTCCTTAGCCCTTTCTTGTTCCACCATCCTTTCTGCGCCCTGTCACACATGGAAAATGTCATAGGATCCACTGTTCCTGGACCTGATTGGGACCTGCCATTCAGACCGCATCAAGCCAGTCATCCTGAAGCCTCGGCATCTCACCTGGTACCGTATCCACCAGACTCGAGGCCTGGTGTCCTACCCTCCTGACATCCTCACTGCCATGCTAAGGGAGAAGAAGCTAGAACAGGATCCAAATGGGGCCCTCATGGTGTCCCGTGAGGTACTGTGGATCCCCTTGGGCCTCAGACACTCCAAGTTCCTCTGGAACATGCTATCCTCTCTAATCCTTGGGTGATTGTGTCCTCAGCGCTTTGTGGCCACCCCTGTAGCTGGAGATAACTTGCTTGGAACTCTTGCAGACTTTCCTGGAAATGAGAGGGCAGAAGGAGAGCGGCAGGAGGAGAAACGGCAGTAGGGCTCTGTCCCTGTCTTTCCCTGTGCAGGACGTGAACACACCAGCCCTGCAGTTGCCCCGCATCCCGCCCACAACAGAATTCTTATTTGATGGCACCAGTGACATGACCATCTTTCCCCCTGTCGTCCGTGTAGAGCCTGCTGAGGTGGACTTTGGTTCCTGCCCTGGGCCTGAGACCCCCAACCCTATCCCCCTGTGCCTTTCAAACCACACCAAAGGCAAGATCACAGTAGTCTGGACACACAGGTCTGATTGCCCCTTCTGGGTGACTCCGGAGACCTTTGATGTACCCCCACTCAAGTCTATGGCCCTGCGCCTGCACTTCCAGCCACCCAGCCCCAACAGCCTCTATGCTGTGGAGCTCGAAGCCTTTGCCGTCTACAAGGTGGGTGTGGTGGGTATGTGTGTGCAGATTAGATGAGTGGGGGGAAGGGAGTTCTCAAGGCAGGGGAAAGCAGGGTGTCCCCTGGGATTAGACCCTCCCAGACTCATGGCCCTGCTTTACCGCCTCAACTCAACTGAGATAAAGCCTGAAGGATTATTTCCCTCAGGGTCCTGGCTGGTGAGGGAGGGGTTGTTCTGGCTTCCAGTTCTTGAAATAGAAGTGGTCCCTCTAAGGGAGCTGTGCAGGCAGGAACCAGGCCAGGAGGCAGCCTGGAATGTGGGGCACTGAAGTATATCAAGGGAGAGGCTTCTAGCTCAACTTCCCTCGGTCCAGGATCTCAGCTCACAGCACACAGACTGTTCCCAGCTCTGCTGAGCTGGCCAGCCTTTTAGTCCTTGTGTGCCTTCAGCAGCCCCGCTTTCTTTTCCTTCTCAGCTCTGCCCACATACTGGCTTTTCCTAGTGGCCCAATGCTAGGCTAGAAAAGCGAGGTAGCAGTCAAGGTCAAGTTGCTTAGCAACTATGGAACCTTGGGCACGTTTGGTAACGTCTCTGGCCATAGCCTTTTCATCTACAATCTTGGAACCTTACCCAAATTTGGAAGGACACATCACAAAGCAGAGTATTTAATGGCCCCTGCTCTCTTGTGTTGACAGTAAGGTGGTATAGAAGTTTATAGGAATAAGGCCCCGGTCTCCCAGATGGCCAAGACTGAACACAGATTTTGGGGTTGCAGCTCTAGCCTGATGCTGACCCATAAATCAAACACGAGCCACACCTGGCTACAGGGCATTTGAACTACAGCAGGTCCAAAGCCTATTAGTGGCTCATGCCTAACTCCTGAGGAGGCTGAGTTCTGAGGATCCCGGTTCGAAACCAGGCCAGGTAGACAAATCCAAGAGATTGTCATCTCCAGATAACCAGCAAAAAAAGCTAGAAGTAGAGTTGTGACTCAAGTGGTAGAGCACCAACCTTGAACAAAAAAGCCATATGAGGGTGTGAGGCATTCAGTTCGAGCCCCCACCCTGGCACAAAAAAAGCAAGAAATGTGACTGGTTTGTGTAGAGATGTGCTCTAAGTATAAAATATATCCAGGTTTCAAAGACTTATTGTGAAGAGAGTGTAAAATATCTTACTAATAATTTTAATGATGATTATGTATCTTAAGCCCTAAAATTTTGAATCTGTTGGGTTAAATAAAAAATATTATTGAAATTAACTTCACATGTTTTACTTTTTCATGTGGCCACTGGAACATTTAAAATTGCATTTGTGGCCAGCGTTTGTGGCTCGCGTTGTGTTTCCATTGGCGAGCGCTTCTCAGCGCGTTCCTACAGAATGAATGCTGCCTTCACATCCCACCCAACCCTCCTCTGGGCAGCCATAAGGACTACAGAGAGGGTGCCCTCAGCACAGGGCCTGCTCATGCAGGAGGGGCTGTGTATAGCTGTTGTTCTCTGTGGTCTTTCCTGGGCTTCTGCTTTCTATGCTCAATGTCGGATGCCTGCAGCAGAGGGGCGGGGAGGGGACACGGCGGCTGCCTTCCAGGGCTGGATGCCAGGCTCTGAGCTTCCCTCTGGGCTGGCTCCCCACAGGCCCTGTGGAGCTACAGTAATATAGAAGAGGACTGCACTGTGTCCCCACCCTGGTGTCTGACAGTGCAGGTTCGAGGCCACAGCTATAGCGCTGTCTCGGAACACCGCATACCTCAGTATTCTCTGGATACACCCAAGGTGAGTATAGTTCTGACAGCCGGGGGAAGGGGGCAGAGGAGCTCTGGGCTGCAGATCCCTCTTGTGTTCTCCCCCTCCCCATCGCCCTCTCCCCATCTCCCTCTCCCTCTTCCCCTCTCCTTCCTTCTCTTTCTCCCTCCCTCTCTCTCCCTCATCTCTCTCTCCCTTTCTCTCTCCTCCCTCTCTCTCCTTCTCTCTCTCTTCCTCCCTCTCTCTTTCTCCCTCCCCCCCTCTTTCTGATGGCCTCTGGATACATCTCCATAGCTTCCCTGGGTGGATCTGAGCCATGACACTGAGCTGGAACCTTCTGGGAATTGGACAGCAGCCCTGCCCTGCCTTCTCTGAAGTACTCACTTGGTCCTCTCACCTTTGGGTTTAAAACACTCCTGCTCTCTCATCTGTCTCTGTCCTGATCATTGAGCACCCACCTGCCAGGCCCCAAATCCCAGGTTAGGCCCTAGGGATTATGACAGCCCAACCCATGAGCCTTGTCCTTGCAAAGCACTCTTAGGGGCCCGAATTCCCAGCCCACTCCCCAGGTCCTAGAGGAGCCTGTTCAACCTCAGAAGCAGATTGACATAGGGCTAAAAAGCGCAGTGTAAGAAGGCCAGCTGCCAGCTGCCAGTTCTTCTGTGGCCTCTGATACCTGTGGCTTCTGGCATCATCATGAGCCATGGTAGTCTGGTTTACTGGAAGGGTCCTAATTTGAGATGATCCTGCTTCCCCCACCAGCTACCTGCTGCCCTCCAGTCCAAATGTGAATCATCCTGATATCTGGCTCAGGGGTCTCTCCTCACTGACTCCCTGAGCCCCTGCTCTTGGCAGCTCTTCCCAATGGTCTGTGGCCTTTAGTGCAGTCTAGCTGATTTTGGTCCCTGTTTCTCTGAGGCATGCATATGCTTGTACAGACACACACAGACACAGACACAGACACACACACAGACACACACACACACACACACACACACACACACACATTGCCCTAATTGGGTGGGAACTTGGGTCTGAGATCATAGATCTTGTGTTGTAACCTTGGTCAGTTCTTAACCTGGTACTGGTTATAGTCCAAGGAGAATTTGGGATCTAGACTTGTAGGAGCTAGCTCCCCTCAACCACCTGTGTAAGAATTATCTAGAAGGAGCTGAAGCCCAGTGTGTTGGTCCACCACCTATAATCCTAGCTACTCAGGTAAGAGAGGCAGGAGGATTGAGAGTTTGAGGCCTGCTCGAGCCAAGTTAGCTAAGACCCTATTTCAAAAACAAAAAGAAGAAATGACTAAAGGTGAGATTGAAGTGGTAAAGCATTTGCCCAGCACATGGCCGGGCTCTGTTTCAATCCCAAGCCCAGGAAAGAAAAGGGGAGGACCACTGCATCCCTAAGCTTCTCCAGGATCTCTGAAACTGGGTCTCCAAGGAGTAACTTGTCATTTTAAGGGCAGGACTTGGAGATGTGAGTTTCTCCAAGACTTGTGGCCATCCAGTCTTTGTGTCTGGAGGTCTCTGGGGAACAGAGGCATTTCTTGGTGCCAGGCTTGGTTTCCCTCAATTCCCTGACCCTAGGGCTTGGCTGGACTGTGGGCTGTCATCTTGGATCTCCTTGGAGACAGTCTCCACACACACCCTCTCCCCCCACCCCCGCCCCCAAAGTCCATATGGATGGTCCTGAGTATGTATCTAAGAGTAGAGATCTGAGTAACTTCCCCCTCCTCCTCTCCCCTGCCCTCAGCTGTTTCCTGCAGTGCCTTCTGGTGAGTCTTCCTACCGCAGCCTGCTTCTGGAAAACAAAGGTTCCGAAATGCTGACCTTCAACCTGACCCCCAAGAGCAGCTCAGATATTACCCTCCGACCCTCCTCAGGCATTGTAGCACCTGGAGCCCACCAGATCTTTATTATCAGCACCCACCCCAAGGGCACTGCCTGGAAGCAACACATTTTCTACCTGCAGTTCAACTTTTACCCCCACTATCTCAAGGTAGGTGCAGGGGTAAGACAGCTGAGTCTTTGGGAGTAGACCATAAGCTAGACTTTTTATCAAAATTATATTGACATCGGTTTTTAAAGCCCCCATGAAGTAACCAGGGGCCAGTCTTCTAGAAAGTAGCATTGTAAGCTCCCTCAAAAAATGACTCTTCCCCCAACCCCCCAATCAGGGCTCTGCTTGTGTACCTCCATGAAGTCTGGAACCAAGATAAAGGGTACCTGGTAGAGGGTTTAGATCCAGCCTATGGACAGGTCAACATGGTGAACCACATCTGAACTCATGAAATGATCTACACCTACTTTCTTTGTCCTCGTATTATAATAATTATTATTACTACTATTATTTGCTAGTGCTGGGGCCTGGGCACTGTCCCTAAACTTCTTTTGCTCAAGACTAGTACTCCACCACTTGAGTCACAAGTCCACTTCTGGCTTTTTCTGTGATTAATTGGAGATAAGGGTCTCATGCACCTTCCTGCCCATGCTGGCTTTGAACCATGATCCTCAGATCTCGCCTCCTGAGAAGCTAAGATTACAAGCATGTGTCACCAGCACCCATCTGTTCCTATGTTCTTTTCAATGTACCTTCAACAGAAGCTGCTACACCAAGGCTAGCAGAAGTCCTTTGCTTTCACTTCCAAGGTGTCAGGGGTGGGCTGCCTTGGAGATGTTGGGGAACCAGGACCTCAAGGTGAGGCCAGGTACTTCCCTCCTTCCTCTGGCCCAGGAGGTGAGCATGCAGAGCCGAGAGGAGCCAGTGCAACTGAAGCTGGACACCTGCAAAAGCATCTACTTCAAGCCCACCTGGGTGGGCTGTTCTTCCACCAGCCCTTTCACATTCTGCAACCCCACACGCATGCCTCTGGAGTTTGAATGGAGGATTTCCCAGCAGCACCAAAGGACACTGGCTGTCCAGCCCTCCAAGGGGACCATCCATCCCAATGAGACCCTTGTGAGTGCCTGTTGCCCAGGTGAAAGAGAAAGTACTCTTCACCTTTATCATCTCTCACTGTGACACGCGTGGTCTATGATGTATTACACCCCCCCACACACACACACACTTCCCCCACAGCATGTCTCCCAGCCTGTGAGTAGGTATTATTACCAACTCATCACTTCCATCAGACAGAGAATTCACACTCGAGAAAGAGTCACTTTCTAAGATCAAGGTTTAGGATGTGCAGAGCGAGGATCTGACAAACATTTCTTTGGCTTTGGTTTTGTTTTTGAGCTCATCCTGAGGCTTGACTCAGGGCCTGGGCACTGTCCCTGACCTTCTTTTCGCTCAGGGCTAGGGCTCTCTGTCACCTGAGCCACAGCTCCACTTCTAGCTTTTTGGTAGTTTTAGTGGAGATAAGAGTCTCACAGACTTTCCTGCCCTGCCTGGCTTTGAACCACGATCCTCAGATGTCAGCCTCCTGAGTTGCTAGGATTATAGGTATGAGCCATTGTCAAACATTTCTAATGTCAGTACCCAGGGCATTCCTACCCCCTTTTATCCATGGCTCCTAAAGCTGTGAGGGCTAGGAGGGTAGTGTGGAGTGGCAGGGTTTGGGGCAAATGAATAGCTCTCAGAAAGCAACGAGGAAGGGGACTCCCAGGGGTCTCAGCTGCAATTAAAAGGGAGGTATGAGTTGTAACCCAAAACAGCAGGCCTTGTCCCCAGCCTAGGGGACAGACTTGAGCAAGAACCACCAATACTGGGTGCCCATAAGAGCCCAGAGACAGTAAAAGTGGACATGAGAAGTCATGCAGACTCATGAGTTGGCTCAAACATCCTGCCCCAGCACCTGTCCTAACTAGGGTCAACCCTGGGCTAGTTACTCCACTTCTCAGAGGCTCCAACTCCTTATAACAAAATGAGTGTTAAAAATAATACCAGGGCCGGGCATGAATTGCTCATGCCTGTAATCCTAGCTACTCAGGAAACAAATCTGAGGATCATGGTTCAGAATCAGCTGGGCTGGAAAGCCCATGGGACTCATCTCCAATAACCTACCAAAAAAGCCCAAATTGGAACTGTGGCTCTAGTAGAATACTAATCTTGAGCAAAAGAAGCTCAGGGACAGTGCCAAGGCCTTGAATTCAAGCTCCAGGATCAGCACCAACATATATATATATATATATATATATATATATAATCTTTATTATACCAGTGATTAAGGGGCTTCAAGAGGTGACATCATGCAGGTAAAATGCTCCACATAAGGTAGATACTCAGAAAGCATTACCAAAATTTTAACAACTTGCAATGGGACCTCTGCTGGCTAGGAGCCCAGGGAGGGGGTTCAGGAAGCCCCCATGCAGGGACCGTTTCTATCACCACAGACACTGTCGTGGATCTTCAGTCCTTTGGAGCAGACCAAGTACCTGTACCGAGTGGGAATGTGGGTCTGGGAAGCGGGCCAGCATCTAAACACCAAGCTTCAGTCCACCACATACTACATGGTCCGACTGGTGGGCATGGGCACCACTGCCAGCCTCAGTGTGAGTGTGGACCTCAGTGGGGTGGGAGGAAGGGGACAGGGACCAGCTATGAGGAAGGGCCCCAGGTTCCCTGCTTCAAGAGGGCAGAGGCTCCACCCACACCCCAGGACCTACCCTTCCTTGGGTGTGCTCTGAGGAAGGAGGTGGGGAGCAGGGGTGGGATCTGGGGGAACCATGGTGGCTGGCTGACTCTGGTGTTAGGCAAAGACGAAAGAGCTGGACTTTGGAAACGTGCTGGTGAACAGCAGGCAGTCTAGGGACCTGGCTCTCCTGAACGAAGGCAACTGCACCATCTACTACCGCCTGACCCTGGAGCAGACCAGTCCTGAGGGCGTAGAACATGACTCCCCAGGTACTTGAACAGGGGGCCAGGGAATTGTATTGGGGGTGACGGGGTGCCTTCTTACAACAGATCAATAACACTGTGGTCTGGGTTAAGCAAAGCAGAACTGAAAACCCACTGCTTCCAGTTTATAGCAGTGAGGTGGGTACTTGTAACACAGTGAAGTGTAGTCCTACCTGCTCTCATCCCCTGACTTTGGGCATACTCTCAGCCAGAGCTTTGCTGGCCCAGGGGAGGGTATCTGAGAAGGAAAGGAGAGGCCAAGCTGCCAACTGATTCTGAACTCCCCCCACCCATCATTCCCAAGCAGCTCTGCAGCTGGACCACTCAGAGGGGAGCATGCCACCCCGTTCCCAGGACACCATCAGCTTGACGGCCTGCCCTAAGCACAGGTTCCAGTACTCCTGGACCATCAGCTACTCTCTCGTGTCCTGCAAAGGTACCTGAAACCCAGTGCAGAGAGTCAAGGTGGGAGTGGGGCAACAAAAGGGAAGCAAGGAGGCATATGAGACTGGGTGGAGGTATGCTGAGGTCCAGGACATTTGGCAGAGTGCGTGGGGACCAGCTGGATGGTGTCTGATTGTGGATGCCAAGTCTGTCTAGGTGGGTGTCCATATGTGTGTGTATCTGAGCTGTGGAAGTCTCACTCTGAAGAGTTAGGAAAGCCGGGCGCTGGTGGCTCACGCCTGTAATCCTAGCTACTCAGGAGGCTGAGATCTGAGGATCATGGTTCAAAGCCAGCCCAGGCAGGAAAGTCTGTGAGACTCCTATCTCCAATAAACCACCAGAAAACCAGAAGTGGCGCTGTAGCTCAAGTGGTAGAGCGCTCGCCTTGAGCTGAAGAGCTGAGGGACAGCGCCCAGGCCCAGAGTTCAAGCCCCATGATGGAGAAAGATAGAGAGAAAGAAAGAAAGGAAGGAAGGAAAGAAAGGAAAGAAAGAAAGGAAAGAAAGAAAGAAAGAAAGAAAGAGGGGTTAGGATGGTGGCTCAGTGATAGAGCGCTTGCCTTGCATGCATGAGGCCCTGGGTTCGATTCCTCAGCACCACATAAGCAAAAAGAAAAAAGCTGGAAGTGGCGCTGTGGCTCAAGTGGTAGAGCGCTAGCCTTGAGCTGAAGAGTGGAGGTACAGTGCCCAGGCCCAGATTTCAGGCTCCACGACCGGACCCAAAAAAAACAAAACAAAAAAGAAAGAAAGGAAGAAAGGAGGGAGGGAGGGAGAAAGAAAGAAAGAAAGAAAGAAAGAAAGAAAGAAAGAAAGAAAGAAAGAAAGAAAGAAAGAAAGAAAGAAAGAGGAGGAGCTGTGGCTTAAGTGGTAGTGTACTATCCTTGAGTAAAAAGGTCAAGGACAGAGCTCAGCCCCTGAGTTCAAACTCCCAAGACTGGCACTGCCCTCCCCCCACAAAAAAAAGAAAAAGAAAAGGAGGGCTGGGGATGTTTCTTAGTGGTGGAATGCTTGTCTAGCATGAGTTTAAAGCCCTGGGTTTGATTCCTCAGTACCACATAAACAGAAAAGGCCAGAAATGCTAAAGTGGTAAAGTGCTAGCCTTGAGCTCAGGGACAGTGCCCAGGCCCTAAGTTCAAGTCCTATGCACATATGCCTCATGCATGTATGAATTTTTTTTATTTCTACAGTTTAATTCCCAAAAATTGGATTTCTGGGTCAAAGGACATGTGTATTTCTTATTCTAATAGAAGCTGTCAAAATTTTTTCCAAAAGGTAGTAGCCATTTTCTCCCCCGACCCCTCTCTGAGGTTGTCCATTCTTTCTAAAATTAGCAGTATTGGATATATCTTTTTCACATCACTGCTGTGAAAATTTTGTGTTTTGGTTTGTATGTGCCTGATTCTTGGCAGGGGTTTGGGGATACATATTGGCTGTTTTCCTTTTTCTGGATGCCCCCTATTCACTTCTTTGTCCCAGTTTGCTGCCAAGGTCAGTTCCATGCCATCTCTGTGAGATGGAGGAATTCTATCAATTTGTGATGCTGGAATCCCTTTGTATACTGGTTTTGTCAGCTGGTTGGGGCACAGTGTCTACTTCCCTACCTTGCAAGGCTCTGGGATCACTAACTCTACACTGTGTACTTCATGCTTGTTTCAAGACTGCCAGCACAGCTCGGCACTGGTGGCTTAGGCCTAGATAATCTTAGCTAATCAGGAAGCTGCGATCTGAGGACTGTAGTTCAAAACTAGCCCAAACAGAAAAGTCCATGAGAACCCTATTATCTCCAATTAACCAGCAAAAATCTAGAAGTGGAGGTGAAAAATGAGAGCATGAGACCGAATTCAACCCCTAGTACCAGCAGACAAAAGAAGTGCCATCTCTCCCGAGCACAAGCACTGTCCTCTACTCAGTGCCCAAGCTTACCTTGGTACCCTGCCTTCCAGGGGCACCTCGGTGATGCTGCCAGCTTTCCTGGGAGGCTCAAATGGCCCCTTTCTAACTGGCTACCTCTAAGTGATCCACATATACAAGTGGCCCCTGGTGGCCCCTGCCATCCACAAAGGGAGCCCCAATCTTCATTTTCCTTTAGTTACCATGGCTCTACTTCTGTTCCCAGGCTTTAAGAGCATTACAAAATAGCAATGCATGCAATTGCCTTTGTTTAGCTGTATATGGCCAGCCGGCCAATGGGAGATTAGCGCAATAGGGATGGTGGGATTTCTGTCTCTGTTCCTCCAGAGCAGGACCCCTTTCTGTGCTGACTGCCCCATCCTTTGCACGGTCTCACTCTCCTTGCTTCCCATTCCTCTTTCCAGGGCCTTTCTCTTTCCAAGTGACCAGCGGCTTGACGTGGAGCTGTGGGCAGAGCAAGTAGAGCTCAGCAGCACTGAGCTCCATCAAATGCGCGTGGAAGACAATTGCCTCTTCTCTGTTAACCCCAAGTCTGGTTGTCTGTGTCCTGGAGAGGAGCAGATGGTGGAATTCAAATACAGGTGATCATATACCCTGTCATCGTGTACTTTCTATCCAGTAGACTCTCTCGTCCACACTTTTCCTGGTGGTACTGGTTCCTGGTGGTACCTTGAATGGGAGGCCATCCTTTACAGGGGAGGTCTTATATCTTACCCCAACTCAGCTGTGAGTCTCTCCCAGGGGTTGGTAGGCCAACGGCCACAGGTATGCCGTGCCATTTGTTCTCTCACTGGGACCAGGCCCACGACTCACTCTGAACTCATCTCCTCCCTTCTAGCCACCTGTTCATAGGCACGGATCGCCTCCCCGTACTGTTCAAGGTGTCTCAGGGCCGAGAGATACTGGTGAGGCCCCAGAACCCTGATCCTGCCCTGAATCCCAGGTTGTAAGAGAGGCTTCCTAGACAACCAAGAGAGGAGCAGGGAGCCACGCCCCCAGGGGATCTGGGGTTTGGATATCTCTGCTGGGTGTGCCAGCCAGTTTCTCCCAGGGAGCGATGCTACTCATGGGCTTTTTATTTCCAGCTGAATTTCATAGGTGTGACTGTGGAGCTAGACCAGAAGTATGTGCACTTCGCTTCCACCAACCACAGTTTCACCCCTGTCCGCATCGGTGACACGCTGCCCCCACGGCAGGTCAGTGATTTAGATTGTCAGGATCACCAAGAACTCCAAGTATTGATCTCTGCATATCTGCATATCTGCATATCTGCTGTTGGCAGTTGACAAAGACACTGCCCTGTAGAGTGCCCTAAGACAGATTGGACAACTGGGGAGACCCAAGGTCAGAGGCCTCCTAAGTACTAAGTCCTTTGGCCAAACTCAGTTTCTATGTAAAAATAAGGTTATTTTCCCTTTAGCACAAGATTTCTGAAACTTGTTTGACCATGAACCTTGCTAACATATTATATATTACATATGCTTATAGTCCAGTATTTACCATACATACAATTGGAACCAAAATATCATAAATCTTTGGCTACTGTGTGCAACATACATGACTTTTTCTTTTATTCTTTTTTTTTTTTTTTTGTCAATCTTTGAGCCACAGCACCACTTCCAGTTTTCTGGTGGTTAATTGGAGATAACAGTCTCATGGGCTTTCTTGCCTTAGCTGGCTTTTGAACCATGATCCTCTGATCTCAGACTCCTGAGTAGCTAGGATTACAGACATGTGCCACTGGCGCCCCACTTCTTTCATTCTTTTTTAAAAGTTTTCTTGTCAAGTAGTTTTACAAGGAGTTTACAATTCCATAAATCAAGTTAAGTACGATGCATGTTGATCACCCTGTCTATTGCTTTCCTCTATTATTACCCCTTTCAATCCTACCTTCCATCTTTTCCATTCTTTAAATTCTGGATTTGGTCTATTATGTTGATTTAGACTTACTCCCTAATAGACCTCAGCTACTGTTTGGAAATCACTGCTTTAAGAAGAATGTCTTTCTGGATTATAAGATACAGGATTGTGAATCCTTTTGGAATTATGGACTTTATCAGTTGGCAAGAATCAAGCACCTTTGCTTTGAAAATATACATTGGGCTGAGCTCTGATGGCTCAGGCCTATAATTCTAGCTGCTCAGGAGGTGGAGGTCTAGAAATAATTTTGAAGCTAACTCGGGCAGGAAAGTCTGCCAAGACTCTATCTTCAGTTAACCACAAAAAAGCCAGAATTGAAGCTGTGACTCAAGTGGTAGAATATCAGTCTTGAGTGAAAAAGCTAAGGGGCAGAGCTCCAGCGTGCGTGCGCGCCTACACACACACACACACACACACACA